GGAAACACATCAGGGGTCAGAACATTGCAGATTATATGCGTTACCTAATGGAAGAAGATGAAGATGCTTATAAGAAACAGTTCTCTCAATACATAAAGACCGTAACTCCAGACATGATAGAGAAAACGTATAAGAAAGCACATATTGCTATCCGTGAGAAACCTGTTTATGAGAAGAAGCCTAAGAAAGATGTTAAAAAGAAGAGGTGGAATCATCCCAAAATGTCTCTTGCCCAGAAGAAAGATCGGGTAGCTCAGAAGAAGGCAAGCTTTCTCACAGCTCAGGAGCTGGTTGCCGAGAGCGAAACCAAACCACAATTTCCTATGAAATTGTTCCAAAGAATGTTAATAAACTTATTGACCAAAAAAAAGATAAACACCCGTGCTTCTCCCTCATCTCTGTGGCTAGCAGGGTTGAAAGACAGAAAAGTCACTCCTGCAAATGCTCTGGCAGCGAGATCACTAGTCCCATCAGCCTAGATTCCAAAGGTTCATTATATCCCACATACACAAGGCGGACAGGGGTAGAGGTAGGGGTAGGGGTGGAGAGCTGTTATCCCTTCAGCTCCCACCACACCACACCCCTGGTATTGCTGGAAGGTGCAGTCCAGTGAAACCAAACAGCATTGATGCCTGCACTTCTCTTCCCACACTCTACCAGCAAGCCACCTTCTCAGTTTCTCCTGCCCAAAGGGCCCCTAAGCCCTTCTCAGATCTTAGCACCTTGTCCTATGTTCTAACTAGGCTTCAAATGTGCCAGCAGCCAGGAATTCCCCCCTGTTCCCTGGCACTAAAAGTAAAGGACTCGCATGCCATGCAGAACACAACACTCTTGACCGTGGGAAGGACTGAGGCTCACGTTTTACTCAGGAGGCTACTGCTGGCTGCCACTCTGCCCACAGGCTTACGCAGAGAGGTGTGGGAGGATGTGTCTTCACAGACCAGTTTGGCTTCACTGTCAGCTGGCTGCTTCTCCTTGAGGACAAAGGGCTTCTTGTTGGGACCTGAGGACACAGAAGTCAGACAGGACACATGATATTATATGTTATCTCACACTGGACTTTTTATTTTCTTTTTGAGAAAATAATGACCCTATAATTGTCAAAGGCTACAAAAGAGCTCAGAGAAGCTGCTATTGGAAACAACAATTCGCCTTGGAGTGGACTCAGTCTTGGCACTGGGGAGGTTTGCCCAGGGGGAATACACAGAGCACGTGAGTGTGACAAGAGTAATTGACAACTCACTGATTTTCTTCTTATGCCAGAAGATAGCCATGTCTTTATGCAGTCCTTTCCCCTTCTTCCTCGCCTGGGCTGCGGATGCCTGGAAGAGAGTCCCCACACCATAATGAGGCCATGTGAATACCACAAGCAATGAACAAAAACTCACATGCAGTTCACTCAAGAACAAAAAAAGTGATCTGAACTTGTTGACAGATGGTGAATAAGATGCTGCTCTTTCTACAATTCATGGGCTCCAGTCCCTTATCTAGCATGACACACCTCCATGGAGCCGCCACCCCCACACCTGCCTCCCAGCAAGCGTTACCTCTTCTTTTTGTAACTTGTTGCTGTTGTTGTTGTTGCTAAGTGCTGCAAAGTCGGTTCTGACACATAGCAACACTGTATAGGGCTTCCAAGGAGCGGCTGGTGAGTTTGAACCACCAACCTTGCAGTTCAAGCCGACTTTGCAGTGCAGTGCATTAACCCATAGCACCACACCATAAACTAGGCCTCACCAGCATTTAATAGATGACTCTCATCTGATCATATATACAAAACCAGGAAGAATTCTAAGTCACAGACAAAAAAGGAAACTGCAGAGTGATACATGTGGGAAACCATCTACCCAAACACACACGCACAAGCAACCTTAAGCAAATATACCTAGTTGTGTTTATGCTGTGGTGCTGTGGAGTAAAGCACTGGACCATACGGTCAGTTTGAACCACAAGGTCAGCAGTTCAAACTCACCAGCCACTCGTTAGAAACCCTATAGAGAGTCATTATGGGTTGGAATTGACTCATGATGGCACTTAGTAACAACAACAGGTAATTATGGTGAGACATGAGACATAAAAGAATCTAAGCTTGTGTCAGTTCCTTATAATAATAATTTAGTTATACATTAGTTGTAAACTTAACAAAAAAAGTTTTGTTTCAAATGGAAGACTAACCACTTTAAAATACCTCTACCCTAAAACAACTTTTGAAAAATAAAGGATTATATTTTCACAGAAAGAACAATAAATAAAGTACAGAAACTGCACCAAGTGTGTGTACGTGTGCATAGCATCTATGTAAGGATGAACCAGTTCAATACGTGGTACTGAGAAGAGGCAGTCTCTTCAATAAATGGTGCTAGCAAAACTTCCAGAAAAATGAAACAAGACCCATACCTCACAGTATATACAAAAACTCAATGTGGATTAAAGGCCTAAATGCAAAGTCTACAACTTATAAAGATCATCAATGAAAAAATAGGGACAAACCTAGGGGCTTGAAAATACATGGCATAAATACACTGTCAAACATAACTAAAAGCATACAAGCAGCAAAAGACAAAATAGATGACTGGCTCCTCCTAAAAATTAAACACTTATGTGCATGAAAAGATTTCATCAAGAGTAAAAACAGAGCCCACAGACTGGGGGAAGTGTTTGGCAGTGACATATCAAATAAGGACATAATCTCTAAAATGTATAGAAAACTACAACACCTCTACAAGAAAAAGATAAATACCCCAATTTAAAAGTGGACAGATGACATGAACAAACATTTCAGGTAAGAAGACATTCAGGCAACCAACAAACATGAAGAAATGCTCACGATCATAACATTAGAGATACAAAGCAACACACCAATGAGATTTACCCCAGCATGAATAGCAAAGTTAAAAAACAACACAGAAAACATCAAATGCTGGCAAAGGTGTTGAGACTGGGACCCTCCTGCTCTACTGGTGGGACTGCAAAATGGTACATCCATTGGGGGAAATATACTGGTGCTTCCTGAAACAAAAAGCTGAAAACAGCAATACCATATGGCCCAGCAAATCCTCTACTGGGCACATTATCTACAAGAAATAAGAACCGTGACATGAGTAGGTATATGCACACTGATAGTCATCGAAGCACTATTCACAATAGCAAAAAGATGGAGACAGTATAAATACCCATCAATGGAAAATCAATAAACAAACTTGGGTACAAACACACACACAATGCAATTCTATGCAATGCTAAAGAATAACACAAATCTGTGCAATACCTCATAACATGGATAAACCTGAAGACATTATGCTGAGTGAAATTAGTCAATCAACAAAGGTTAAATATTGTATCAGACCTCCATTATAAAAACTCAAGCAGAGGCTTTCATGCTAAAAGAAATATTCTTTGATGGTTACCAGAGGTGGGAGAGAAGGGAGAGTAAAATACTTCTGGAAGGTAGATACATGTTAACTCAGATGAAGGCAATATACAAGAGGAAGGTTAACATAAGAATGATGAAGACACAGGGAGGAATGCAAAGGTTAAACGGGATAGAGATAAATACTGTTATACACACAACCCTGCAATAACACTGTTCTATGGGTAGGAGACCTGGTGTGGCCCTGTGGGATACTCTGCTGGACCGCAAGGTCAGTTTGAGGTTGGTGGTTCAAACCCAACAGCTGTTACTCAGAGTCACGAGGCTGGTGGTTCAAACCCACCAGCTGTTCCCAGAAACCCTATACAAGGTCACTATGAATAGGAACCAACTCAACAGCACTTAGCAACAACAACACAGGTAGATACATGGACAGATACACAGACTGAACAGAAACGGATGTGTCAAACCCACAAATATATAAGAGTTTAAAAGAGGATACTTGTTAATGTGGGTATTTATCTTTGCAAAGAGTTCTGGTAGTGAACTGGATTACAAATTGAGCTGCTAGCCACAAGGTCAGCAGTTCTAATCTCCCAATGGCTCCACAGGAGAAAGATTAGGCTTTCTGCTCCCATAAAGATCTAAAGCCTCCAAAAACCTATACAAGGTCGCTATGAGTTGAAACCAACTCAGTGGCACACAACCACCACCACCACCATTTAACTTTTTTACAAACACACCTATGAACGTGATAGAACACTGTTGTTGTTAAGTGCTGTTGAGTCAGTTCTGACCCATAGCGACCCTGTATAGGGTTTCTGAGGAGCAGCTGGTGAGCTTGAAAAGCCAACCTTGAAGTTCAAACCGACTTTGCAGTCCAGTGCATTAACCAACGACAACACACCAGGATGGGGCAAAATGATGTAAACTTCTTAGACATTAACACCTTGTGGCAATGAGTTGGCATAACATAGTCCACAAAGACAATGTTTTACATCCTACTTTGGTGAGCAGAGATTGGTATCTTAATGCTAATGAGCAGCCACCTAAGCAACTTATTGGTCTCTCCATGTGAGGACGAAAGAAGAGTGATGAAATTTGAAGATACTTGGAATTAAGTAGTCCAATGGACTAATGAATGGAACACAATAACATCAGTCTCCATGACTCTGATACCAGAACTAGATAGTGCCTGACAACCACTACCAACTGCTCTGAAAAGGATCACAATAGAAGGTTCTCAAAAGAGTGGGAGAAAATGTGGAACACTCAAAATTATAAAAAAAGTTGTGTACGGGTATGCCATATGCTCAATGTGTTGTACATACATGTGCTGACAAACTTACTGAAAATCAAGATACAAATTAAACAGTTCACAACAGTTATCCTGGAGGTGGAATTACGAGGGAATTTTTGTTTGTTTGTTTGTTTCAACGTCTACACTGATCATGTACTAAAGCCAAATTTTTTAAAAAAAAAAACTAGTTTGAAGCTCTGGTAGCGCAGTGGTTACTAATCGGGCTGCGAACCACAAGGTCAGCAGTTCGAAACTACCAGTGGTTCCGCGGGAGATAGATGAGGCTTTCTGCCTCTGTAAAGATTTACAGCCTTGGAAACCCTGTTCAGGGTTGCTATGGGTCGGCACTGACTCAACGGCACTTAACAACAACAACAGTTTGAAAAAGTGCCGTATGGTTCCAGAGCCACCTTCACTACGCAGCTTGTAATTTGGTATCCTGTGAATAAACCAAGGAGTCCTGGTGCTGCTGTGGTTAAATGATTCAGCTAGTAACTGAAAGGTCAGTGGTTCAAACCTACCAGCTACTCCTAGGTAGTCTGCTCCTGTCAAGACTTCAGCCTTGGAAACCCTGTGGGCAGTTCTTTGTCCTAGAGCATCATTATGAGTTAAGAATCAACTCCATGCAATGAGTTTTGGGTGAATGAACTTGCCCAGAATTTCTAGAATGAGTTCTAGTACAGATCTCAAGCTTCTCACAAATGACTATGAATTATTAAGGGCCATCGTCTATCAGTTTGCCATTCTGTGGTTACTAGCGTATTGCTGTGGCACTAGAAAATACATCACAAGTATTTTAAATACCAGCAGGTGGACAGGTTTCAAAGGAATTCCAGACTAAGACAGACTAGGAAGAAGGAAAGGCGAACTACTTCTAAATGTTTAGCCACTGAAATCCTTAAGAATAGTAGCAAGTATTGGGCTGAAAGGTGAAAATATTATTAATAACACCAGAGTATCGTTAGATATAGTACCAGAAGATGAGCCCCTCATCTTCTGTGACCATGATGACACAAACGGAGTAAAAGCTTTTGAGATCTTCATTTGCTGATGGGGCAAAACACAAAATAAGGATAAACCTCTGCAAACATCCATTAATAATCATAACATGAAATGTACAATGTATGACTCTAGAAAAACTGGAAGTTGTCAAAAATGATATGGAACCCATAAAGATCGATACCCTAGACATTGGTGGTGGTAGTGTACCACTGAGTCGGTTCCAACTTGTAACAACCCTGTATAGACATTTTTGCTGTTGTTGTTAAATACCATCAAGTCAGTTCCGACTCATAAGGTTTCCAAGGAGTGACTGGTGAGTTTGAACCACCAACCTTGTGGTTCAAACTGACCTTGCAGTCTAGTGCTTCATCCCACAATGAGCATTGAAATGGACTAGTACTGCCCATTGTAAATCAGACAATCATATGATTTACTATGCTAAGAATGACAAATTGAAGAGGTATGGCATTCTCATTCAACATCAAAAAGAACATTTCAAGATCTATCTTGAAGTAAAATGCTGACTGTGATAGGATAATATCCATATGCCTGCAAGGCAGACCAGTTAGTACTACTATTATTCAAGTTTTTGCATTATTCAATATTTTTCCCATTGTTGTTGCTCTTAAGTGCCATTGAGTTGGTTCTAA